TTTTCCGGTACATTGCTAAATGAGTCGTGTGATCTCCTAAGTATATTTCAAATGAAGCAATTGATATACCTACGGTGATATTTCTTTTTTAATTCACGACTTTTCCAATTCGTGGTAAAATTTATGAACTGATTTCTGGGTAGATGCAAGACCGAAAAAGACAGAAAAACTTAACCCCATCCTTCATTTAGACATCTGAAAACTAAATTCTTAAATTCTTAAATAAATAAATACGATTTTTATAAATAACTCTACTCCAGCACCACCTAGAGAGTTTTATAGCAGCATGTAATTGGACCATATATGTATGTAAGATAACCTCCGACAATCTGACGGAACTCTATTCAGTGTTTTTTGAGTTTATTCCGAACAACGAAAACGGCTATCATTTTATGCAAATAGGTATAGAGATAGGACAGATTATAGCAAACTTGTAAAAGCAAAACTTTGTGAAAAATTAAAAAAATTCTTCAAAATTTTCACATAAATTTTACCTTACTGAAAATTAAAGACAAAGTTACAATAGTTCAATGAGATTAAGAAATCTAGGAGAAAATGGTTCCCAATCGAATGATAGTTGCGCGTTTACGTAAATGTATATCGATCCAGCCTTTCCAATAATTACCACTTTTCGCCATAACTACGGTATTGATAACATATGTAGCTGTGTAGAATTTCAGGACGTAAGCGTAAGCAGTTCCAGAGATAAGCTATATGAGACGTTCAGTTTGTATGGAAATAAGGAGCCACGCTCCTTTCCCAATGCATTTGCAATATATGCACCAGTGCTAAGTTCAGTTCCCCAGCGTAATTGGTTTTAGAGATATATTGGTTTTTTACGTTTCAGTCTGTATAAGAATTTTAGGAATATCTCGAGCTACATACCGAGTAAATTTTTGGTCAGAATATTTATTTTCAAGGTGTTGCCAAATATGAACCAAGTCGATGCAGCCGTTTAGTAGTTTAGTGAAATACATTGTAAAGAGAACTGTATGAAATTGTAAAACGTGAGACGATTTCTTAATTTTTGGCAGCAACAACGAAAAGTTTTAATTTTTTTTAGCGAAAAACCTTCCACACAGAAATAAAAATAATAAGTTTGTGGTTATATCGAGGCGAAATTTTGAGAACGGTCCGTTGCTAACTCTAAATATAAACAACGACGCACTGGAAAAAGTTAATACGTTCAAATACCTAGGAATAATGATCGACGATAAACTAAAACAAAAAAAATGGATTCTATATTTTCAATTAGAGCTCTAGCAATATGTACATCGGTGAAAATGCATTTAATTCCATACATTAACTTTTGCGTGGTACGCTTACAAACATACAGACAAACATACCAAAATTTTATATTTGTTCTGTTGATCTAATAAACCCCCTATAAATTTTTCTTTAACATCTATTATGTACAAATATCGGCCTGATGCAATTTTATTATTCTCAAATACCCTCGTTTGATTCCCATATGGCAACACTTAGTTTATATTACAAATTTAACTGAATTAAAGTTTTCAAACCCGCTTCAAGAATATTTTCAAAAGTAAGCTTCCTAATCCTTTTTAGTTTAATATTCGTATTGCAATATTTCATTTATTTTACAAACTTTAATGAATACAATTTTTCAATCAGTTGGCAAAAAATATTTTAGCATTAAAATTTCCTAGCCTCTTTAATTTGATGCCAATATTGCAATATTTAATTTATGCTATTAATTAAATTAAATTAAAGTTTTCAAATAGGTGGCAACCTTCCACAAAAATATTTTCAGCTGTAAGCCTTTGTAAATTTCTTTCTTTTGACAGCCATATTGCAGTATTCACTTTACCGTATCAATTGACCTAAACTGAAATTTTAAACACAGATGGCAACTCTCTAATTTTTTCTTCTATATTGGAAGCTAGATCTCTAGCGATACATCGGTGAAAACTGCATTCAATTCCATGTTTTCGACTGATGCGCGTACAAATATACAGACAGACAGAGATTCAAAAATTCTAAAAATTGTTTATTTGGCTTCTGTAGCTTTAATAAAAACCCACCATATTAATTTTTCTTTAACATCTATAAGGTACAGACAACGACCTGTTACAATTTTAGTATGTATAGATGTAGATATAGATTTAATTTATTTTATCAATTTAATACAATAAAATATTTCAAACAGGTGGCAGCCCTCCCTAAAAATATTTTCGGCAATATAATTTCCTAAACCCTTTCAGTTTGATACCCATATTGCAATATTAAATTTATCTTATAAATTGAATTAAATGTAAATTTTCAAACAGGTGGCCACTCTAAAATCAGCAATATATCGGTGAAAACTGCATTTAAATACATGCATTCGTTTTCGAGTGATGCGCGAACAAACATACAGACAGACAGACAGACAGACAGACAAAAATTCTAAAAGTGGTTGATTTGGCTTCTGGTGCTCTAATAAAGACCTCCCACATTAATTTTCCTTTATATCTACAATGTACAGACATCGACCTATTACAATTTTATTATATGTATAGATTCGTCGACTACAAAAAAAATAAATATTTGTGATTTGATTCGTTAACCAAATATAAAATAACTTTTATTTGTGATTTGATTCGTCGACCAAATAAGAAATAAAAGTTATTTGTGATTTGATTCGTCAACAAAATTAAAAATAATTTTGTATTTATGACTTGTTTCGTCAACCAAACAAAAGGTTACTATTTGTGATTTGATTCGTCGACCAAATAACAAATAAAATTTATTTAGGATTTGATTCGATAACCAAATAAAGAATAAAATTTATTTGTGTTTTGATTTGTAGAGCGAATAAATTTGTGATTTTTCAACTAAGAACAATATTTTCTTATGCAACACATATACCATACACAAGTATCTTCCAACTTCCAGTTCTACGAAAATCTTCGGGGTTTTCGGGATTTGCGAGACTTCTTCAAATTTTTCAGGACTTTCGGGACTAATTCGAGGTTTTTGAGACTATTACGGGTTTTTCGAGATTTTAGGGATTCTGGGGGCTATATCGGGATTTTAACCTCCAGATTTCGGGGGTTATTGGCACTGTATCCGCATTTTCGGGGCTAATTCGAGATTGCTGGTAATTTCTTCGAGGTAGTTTCGAAAATCTCGAAATAGACCCGGAAATCCTGAAGTAGTCCCGAAGATCCCGATATAGCCCCTAAAACCCTTCAAATCTCGAAGTAGTCTCGAAAATCCCGAAATAGTCCCGAAACCCCTTAAAATCCCAAAGAAGTCTCGAAAATCCCCAAGTGCTCTTACAAATCCCGAAGTAGTCCTAAAAACTTTGAAGTAGTCCCTAAGATCCCAAAATAGTGCCGAGAATACCGAAAATCTTCAAGTAGTCCCGAAAATATCGAAATACACAGTCCCGGCAATCTCGACAATTTTTAAGTAGTATCGAAAAACTTGAAACATTCCCAGAAATTCCGAATTTATCCCAACAATCTCGAAATAGTCCAAATATCCCGCAGTAGTCCCGAAAATCGCATTACAGAGCCGATAATCCCAAATATGCCAATGTGGTCCTAGGAATTCCAAAGATCTCGAAATAGTGCCAAAATTCCCGAATTAACCCCCAAAGTCCCGAATAGTCTGAATATCCCGAAGCTGATCCCTATAAAGTGCCGAGAATCTCCGAAATCTANAGATCTCGAAATAGTGCCAAAATTCCCGAATTAACCCCCAAAGTCCCGAAATAGTCTGAATATCCCGAAGCTGATCCCTATAAAGTGCCGAGAATCTCCGAAATCTACAGGTAGTTTCGTAAGCCCCAAAATAATCCCAAAAATTCCGAAGATCCCGATATATCGGCCAGAATATTTATTCGGTATATTATATTATTACTTATTTTACTCTCAAACATGTCCGCGAAATCTCCTCGTATAAACAGACATGAGAACGAATGAGAATGTTCTTACCGAAAAAATTATCTTAAGAACTAGCAGTGCGAATCACGGAGCGTGTAAGTACCCAAGAGCATTCTCACACCAACATGAGAGTTGCTCTCAACATTTACGAGCACCTTTATGCATATGGTCATTTAAAGTATAAAACCGCGTATCAACATCCTTTGTGGCCACTTCGGGTGTGCGTCAGGGTAGTATTCTTGGTCCTGTATTATTTGTTTTGTTTATAAACGATATTGGGGCCTATTTTAGTCATTCTAAATTTCTACTTTACGCGGGCGACCTGAAACTCTTTGGTAAGATTTCCTGCCTGTCAGATGTTTATGCACTTCAATGTGACTTAAATATAATNATTTTAGTCATTCTAAATTTCTACTTTACGCGGGCGACCTGAAACTCTTTAGTAAGATTTCCTGCCTGTCAGATGTTTATGCACTTCAATGTGACTTAAATATAATATATATATATATAGATAACTGATTGGAGCATTAGAAATAAACTGTAGCTTAATATTAATAAATGTTTCCATATGACCTTGTCTAAATAACGGAATCTAATACCTTCAAAATACTCTGTCTCATGTGTTGAGCTTGGCAATGTTGTTGAATTCCTGGATCTAGGAGTGCTCTTTGATTCGAGATTTACCTTTGTTAACCACATCAATTACATCATTCCCAAGGCGTATTCTAACTCAGCTTTCATGAGGCGCTATGCTAGAGATTCTAAAGATCCATATACTCGCAAATTGCTTTACAATTCTTTAGTGCGGTCTAAATTCGAATACGCCTCCATAATTTTGCACGCCCAGCTACAGCCATACATGTAAATGTGCTTTCCGACTCTACATTTAATTTCAACTACTTTAAAATGAATTTGGTTTACACAACTTCAAAATCAGTATGTTTCTTCTGAATACGTTTGCGTTCTGGACTTCACAGATGCTTTTTCATACTTCCAAGACACAAATTGTTTTTTTGTTTCCGTCAGCGTAGTGCCTGAACTAGTAAAAATCATCGGGAACTTTCCATTCATGAAATTACTATTTTTGAGACAAGGGCATTCACTCACCTGGCATTTCAATACCGCCGTGTTTCCAGTCATCACGTATTCATCGTGAACTTGAACTGTGTATTTTTGATTGACAACTATCAGATGAAAAAGAAACGAAAATTACTTACATATATGTATGTATAGACATAAAAAAAACTTCAAAATACTTAATAGCAAACTTAAATATCTATGTATTTATGTATTGGTTTACAACACCAGCTAGACCTCGACACATAACAAGAAAATTTTAACTTTGAGCGAAGCGCACACTGGTGCTAATCTTACGTTGAGAATTCGAACCGTATATCGGTTGACTTAAGGTCTGATTATGCATACTTTGCATAACTTCGCACAACTTCTTAATCGTAACACAACTTAACAAAACTTAAGGCTGATTATGCTTCGCATGCAACCAAATTTATCAGTACTACCAACCTTATGCATTCACGCAATAGGTCATTCACGGTGTCTGAACAAAAACAGCTGATTTTTGGTTTCTTCAGGTAAATGGATTTGTTGACAGAAAAATTAATTTAAGTAGTTTTAATGGGGTACATTTGCAGACAAAATTAAGTCGACACTTAAGTTCTTTGCAATTTGACATAGTTTTCAATGCAATATCTGTCAAAATATGTAAATAAAATAAGTATGTTTTTCTTAAAAAAATACGTAATTAACTACATGTGGCAACCTTTCATTATTTTGCCGGCGCTGAGATACTTGATACGGCCGTTGGAGGCTAAGTACAAATACATCCAGCAAAAACTCGTAGAGCATTTTTCCGATAGTCAGCAACGCCGCCTTCAGAAAGTATTGAAATACATGGTTCTGGGCGACCGGCGCCCCAGCGAACTTTTTAACGATATGAAACGCGCTGCCGTTGAGCGACAGTATTCTGCATGATTTATGGGTTAGTAGACTACCACCGTACGTACAAGCGGCGCTAATAGCTACGAACGTTGCTATTGTGGAAAAGCTTAAAATTGCCGACTCCATCACTGAAACAATCGGAATGCACCACAATCAACCACGCGAGGTTGCAGCGGTCAGTGAGGTTGCTAACTTAAAACTTGAAATGACTGAACTGACCAAGCACGTGCTAAAACTTCTCGATAACAAAAGCCAACGAGTACGTTCAAGGTCGCGATCCAAATCGCGTAGTCGTCGTTTGCTTCCAGCTATTCCACACAACGACGCTTGTTGGTACCATGCAAAATTCGGCGAGAAAGCAGCGAAATGCCGGGAACCTTGCAATTTTGTATCAACAAAGAAGTCTCTATAGGCCTGCTTGGATGCTCCGGTTTCAGATTTGGGCAACCTATCTGAAGCCGCAAAATCATACCGGTTGCGCATTTATGACACGACAACAAAGATGCACTTTTTAATAGACAAAGGTGTGGACGTTTCTGTGGTCCCGAAGTGCGCTAACGCAGTCCAAGCTTCTCCAAGTGGTATAAAACTGTTTGCCGCAAATGGTTTGCCCATTTTAGTATTTGGCGAGGCCATTTTTAAACTTAGCCTCAATTTGCGACGGAAATTCGTATGGAATTTCGTTATAGCAGATGTCTCTCAAGCGATTATTGGAGCTGATCTCCTAGCTCATTTTGGACTTAAAATCNTTCCACACAACGACGCTTGTTGGTACCATGCAAAATTCGGCGAGAAAGCAGCGAAATGCCGGGAACCTTGCAATTTTGTATCAACAAAGAAGTCTCTATAGGCCTGCTTGGATGCTCCGGTTTCAGATTTGGGCAAACTATCTGAAGCCGCAAAATCATACCGGTTGCGCATTTATGACACGACAACAAAGATGCACTTTTTAATAGACAAAGGTGTGGACGTTTCTGTGGTCCCGAAGTGCGCTAACGCAGTCCAAGCTTCTCCAAGTGGTATAAAACTGTTTGCCGCAAATGGTTCGCCCATTTTAGTATTTGGCGAGGCCATTTTTAAACTTAGCCTCAATTTGCGAATGGAATTTCGTTATAGCAGATGTCTCTCAAGCGATTATTGGAGCTGATCTCCTAGCTCATTTTGGACTTTTGGTCGACTTAAAATAAAAATGTTTGCTTGATCGCAAAACAGAGTTTCGATCGATTTGTGAGATCGATAAAACGTGCGCATTGAGTATCAAGACATACGATAAAAATTATAATTTTTCAAACATTCTTACTGAGTTTAGTGATATCACACATTCCCGCCCTCTAAACGCAGCTACGAAATCGTCAATTCATCACCGTATAACCACCACTGGCCAGCCTGTTTTCGCACGACCGCGGCGTCTTTCGCCGGAGAAACTAGTAGCCGCAAAGGCTGAGTTCGAATCGCTTCTCAATCTGGGGATTTGTAGGCCGTCCAGTAGCAATTGGGCCAGCCTATTGCACATGGTACGTAAAGCCGATGGCTCATGGCGATCATGTGGGGATTACAGGGCTTTGAATGCAGTTACGATTCCGGACCGATATCCACTGCCCTTCCTCCACGATTTCTCAAATATTTTGGTCGGTAAATGTATTTTTTCCAAAATTGGCTTGAAGAAGGCTTTTCATCAAGTGCCGATTTATGATGAAGACATCTGAAAGACTGCGATAACAACTCCCTTTGGACTTTTTGAGTTCACTCATATGACCTTCGGGTTAAGGACTGCAGCCCAAACATTCCAAAGGCTCATAAACGAGGTTCTACGCGGGTTTAATTTTGTATTCGTTTATCTCGATGACGTCTGCATTGCGTCTACTTCTGCAGATGAGCACCGAGGTCATCTTCGACAAGTTTTTCAACTACTGAGAGATAATAACTTGACAATAAACGTCGCGAAATCCGAGTTTGGCCTTTCAGAACTTCGCTTTCTTGGTCACTGCATAGCTGAGGATGGCCGACGACCAGCGTAACGACGAGGAGCTGAACGACTTATTGGATGGCAATATTCATCACTCGCTTAAGCTTAAAAGTTTTGTTCTTCCTTTCAGCTCGAAGAGTTTGCATTGCGACACTTCGTCTGGTCGTATCCGGCCATTTGTAACTAAAAAAATTCAGGCAAACGTTTATGCGCTCAATTCATAATGTAGCACACCCAGGTACAAGGGGACAACGCGACTAATAACAGAGCGGTTTGTTTGGCCTGGGATACATCGGGATGGCAGAGATTACGCTCGTGGCTGTATGTACCCTGCAGGGAAACCGCGGACTAGTGAATCAAATTTCTAGTTCCGTGCTAGGTCTTTATCGCCAAAAAGGAACTAGTCCGATAGAAACTAGATCCCCACCAGCCCAAAATCGGCGAAAAGTGGTACTTTTAACAAAGTAATTTTTTTCAGTTTTTTTCACTAGAAATATATATCTAAAGTGACGAATTTAGAAATGGTTCGGAACTATAGAACAAAGGATGAAGAACGAACTAGATCCTATTTGTCGAATTTAGAACTATTTCGGAACTATCGAATAAGGGATGCAGCGGGGGGCTTGTTTACTTTACATAGATATGTGTTCGGCGGCTTTTCATAGCTTGGTAATACAAAACTAAAATTTGTGTTAACATTTCAACATCTTGGGACAGTTTGGAATCTAAGAAAACAGCGAGCACCTCTGCAAAATCAGCTACAGCTAAAGGTATGTAAACGTATATTTCTTACAATCATTCAAACAAATTTAATTTCAAATTGAAAACACATTTCTTCCAAAATAACTTAAAATCGCACACACGGAAGAACCAAAAATATTGAAAAATCATGATACTTTTTTCTTTCGTCTGTCGATTTTAGAACTGGTTCAGAACTATAGAATTTAGGACTAGTTCGGCACTATCAAAAAGGGATGCAGCTTGGGGCAATTGACACCTCCTAGGACATCGCCATGTTAAATTCGCCAGTTGCTTGCATGCAAAAGAGATTTATCGCGAACCAGTACTGGGTCTAAATGTACTAGAAGCGCACCAGTTCAGAACTAGAGATTTTCCCCACAGGGTAGTGTCAGCGGAACAAAACAATTCGGCATAACCGAAGTCTATTGCAGCGGCGGCAGTGTCCAAGCGCACGATTTACGCACTTACACATTGATCTGGTCGGGCCGTTCCCACCATCTGAAGGCAGCCGGTATTGCCTTACTATCGTCGATCATTTTACGCGCTGGCCAGAAGCGTTGCCAATACCTGATATGATGGCGCCGACTGTTTCTAAGGCATTACTGAGTGGTTGGATTTTACGGTTCGGCGTGCCATTGACCATCACATCCAACCTAGGGCGGCAGTTCGAAAGCGCATTATTTCAGCAGCAGTTGAAATTACTAGGTGTTCGCCACTTCCGTACAACGCCCTATCACCCTCAAACAAATGGGATGGTCGAAAGATGGCAACGCACGCTGAAAGCAGCTATATTATGTCATAACGCTAACCAATGGGCATCGTATTTACCACTGACGTTGTTGGGATTACGATCTACACACAAAGACGACTTGGATGCCTCCCCTCTGATTTGGTGTACGGCGAAAGTCTTCCGCTGCCCGCTGAATTTTTTACCGATAGTGCATCTACGAGCTACGAAACCTATATGGTTAAGCTACTGAGCCAATGCATGAAGGCTTGGCACATAAAGCAGAAGGTTTCCGTGCACTCAGGTTGAAAAAGTTGCGAACAGGTATTTATTCGTGACGACTTAATCCGGCCCTCACTTTCACCTCCGTACAAAGGCCAATATAAGGTCATTCGACGAACCCCGAAATATTTCGTAGTCCAGGTTAACAACAACGAGGTGAAAATATCAGCCGACCGGTTGAAGCCCGCGTCCATCGCCGCCCAGCCAACTGTCTAGGAGGGGAGTATTGTGGCAACCTTTCATAATTTGCCGGTGCTAAGATACTTGATACGGCGTGCAACTCTAAGAATCAACTCTATACCTCATTTCATTTCTTGTTGAGATTTATTCAATGACTCCTTTGAACTTGTTTAATCTGACATTTCTTCTCAACTATTGTAGTAGTATTTATGTCGAAAAGTTTTAGAATAAATTCTCTTTTTCTGGCTGAACATCAAACGCTGCGTAGGTATATTAGATGATATATTCACTACAAAGAGCATAAAAATAACTTTCATTTGATATATAAT